AGAGCCAAAGCTCCACAGGAAGTGATTTAATGTTCAAAAAGGCATGAACTTGTTTTTTTTTTTTTTGCTTAGTCTCTTTCCTGTTAGTGTTCTGATAGGGACTTCCTCTTCCCAGGATGGGTGGATATGGTGTCATCCACCCATCCATCCATCCATTAATCCATCCATCCATCCATTCATCTATTCCACCCACTCATAACACACGGAAATATTATTCCGCTGCAGTGCCATTGCAGGAAAAAACCCTGTGTGTGCGCAAAACAACCTGAGTCACAGAGTAGACCAGGATGATCTCTTCCTGTCTGCCCCAGTATCTCTGCAACCAACTCCAATCCTTTCCGCTGACACACACACACACACACGTATGGTTCAAACACAAACACACACACATGCATGTTGTTTATCCCCAATAAAGACCTACACATATAATTGTACACATCTTTAGATTTGTCTATTATCAAATCATCTGTCTAATAAAGGGAAAGACTGAAATTTCACACTGAAACTAATAACGAGTACTGTAGTATCTGAGTAACTTGATAAGCCACACTAAAATATTAAACTGTATTTAATCACAGTTTGTGGCACTGTAATTGAGTAATAAAAAATTGGATTTTTTTTTCGTTTGTGTTTTCTCTCCATATCTGCTGCTACTTCTGTGTGTGAGGCAGATGTATTCCTCTTATTTCTATGGATTTTCTGTGTTTTGATAAATAATTACCTCTGATTCATCGAGTCACGCAATTATTCTTCCTCATGTTTCTCCCTTTCCTCATTTAACATAAAACTCTGCAGTATATATATATATACAAATATAACTGTGACATGATTATATTATATTTGTTAGAAATCATCAGACTTATGAATAAGGAACTTTTCCAGTCTTCGTGAACCACGGTAAAATAAACAAAACACTGCTGGATTTAACTGACATTCAGTGTATCTCAATATGTGTGTAAGAGTGTGTGTGTGTGTGTGAGAGAGGTAGTTACCAAAACGGCTAAGGTTACAATCCTTCCTGTGTTTAGTGAAACATTTACTACGTTCTCACACAAATACTTACAAACACGCAGTTACATGAAGTGACTGCCCCCCCCCCATCAACACACACACACACACACACACAGACCTACAGATGGAGGAAACAAGGCCAGCACTGCCTGTGTCTGTGGAGGAAGTGAGGTGCAGTGATGGCACATTAACGACACAGCAGACAGACACCGTTTCACTCAGTGAGGATTGTTTGAGTGAAACAATTGCCCCTGGGTCCACTGAGGGTTAGGGTGGGGGGCTGAGAAAGGTGCTTTTGTGTTGTTGGGCTGCAGATGACCCTGTGAGTTCAATGGGGCTCATTATTAAGAAAGAAAAAAGGGGAAGGGGGGCGGGGGCTATGATTTTTAATTTTTTTTCCCCACTGAATGAGGAGGATAAAGACACATGGATTACAGTACGGTGAGAAAAAAAAAAAAGATGTCCGGTGCTAATGGACTGTGTGTCAGTGTTTTCCCTCAACTGCGTTCATTCCTCACAGACTGTTTGCTCTATGCTAATGGCGTCCACTCATGCAGAGCAGCAGGTCTTAATGAAAAACCTTTGGCTGGTGATCAGTGCTATTGATTGGCTCGAGCCCCGGCTTTAAGCAGAGCTAATTGATCAATCACCACGAGTTGCTGTGGCTTATGGAACATGATGGGTGTTGCCCTGCAGACATGTATTCCTAATGAAGAGGCCGGAGTGAGGACAAGTGTTAATGTGCATTTAACGCTAAGATCTGCCACGTGTGCGTGTGTGTGTAATTATGTAAAGTCAGTGGGAGAGAGAGAGAGAGAGAGAACGACGTGAGGAATGATCTGTACTTCAACACACTGCTCAGGGTTTTTAATGACACTGAGTTGAAGTTGAAGTGAATTTAAATTTTAATTTAATTTCTCTCAGCCAAATCTGCGCAACATCTGACATTCACGAGCCTCTCATTTGGTCAGAAAACCATTGTAGAAGAAGCATTTTAATAGTCCGACCTGGTTTTGCCAGAGCCGGAGGAAAAATGTGTGTGGCAGAACATGTGAAGGAAAAGTCCCAAAATAGAACAGGCCCAGATATAATCCATTTTAGGTGGTGTCCAGATTACAAGCATATTTACCAGCAGAGGCACACAATTATTTAGAGAGAAGTATTTTTCTTTTCTTGTTCTTGTTTAGAATCCTAATCCGTCCCTGTCCTACAGCAGAGGGACGCAGTTGGAACGTCCTGGACCTGATCTGCTGCAGCAGTCTGTCTAATAAACAAACTTAGAAACTTTTTATACAAAGTTAAAATTAAAACTACATCTCATCAATAATTACAGTATGGCTAGTGAACTATACTGCTCCACAGAGCTTGTGTTGTTTGTTAGCTGTTACACAATAATTAAAAAATATAAAGCAGGTTTTGATAACTCTTAATAATACTCGGGTTATGATCAACAATGCAAAAAAAATAAAAAATTATGTGGAGATGTAATTCCAACAGTGGTCAGTATTTTTAAAACTGTCCTAAGCTAAGCTAACCTTGCTGACAACACTTTGACATCACTGCTCATCTGACTTCCTTTTTGCTACTTTTTCTCCACAGTAGCTCTGCCTACTTTGAGTTGCATTACTGCCACCTACTGGGCCTGTTCTCCATTGGTCAACAATTCCACCCAGAAACATCCTGATGACTTGAAAAGTAAGAGAAATGAGGAAGTGCAGACAAAGACACAACTAAGAAGGAAGTCCCAGCATACTCCAAATTCAAAGACAACATTAGCAACATTATTTGAAAGTCAGATAAAAGCCAGTAGTGCTGCGTCACTGCCACAAGTGGCCCACATCCGTGAGCTATATCTGGGCAGCAGTGAGGGAATAAAGCACTCACGCCAAAACAGGAAAAGTCCGAATGAGGGAGGGATGAGAGAGAGATCCTTTACTGGCCGAGCAGCCTGTCAGTCACTCAGGTTTGGCCTCTCTCTCTCTCTTTCTCTCCGTGTGTGTGTGTGTGTGGACGTAAAGTTCCAGCTGGCCTGTCATGGGACTCCCAATCGCGTGTGAACAGCACTGAGAGGGAGCTGCTGCTGCTGCTGCTGCTGCTGCTAACTGCTCCAACACTCAACAGGCTGGAACAGGTCGACTGGGGTGATTCTACTGAGGTCTAACCAACAATTACATTTCAATTTGTCCTCTATCAGCATTCAAAAGCTCAAGAAATTGATTAAGGGATTTCTGACTTAAGAATAAAAACCAACAATTACATTTCAATTTGTCCTGTATCAGACATCAAAACCTCAAGAAATTGATTAAGGGATTTCTTACTTCAAATTAGAATTAAAGTTTAAAAAACAAAAAAGAGAAGTTAATGGCGTTTAAAAAAATACAACGTGAGTTCCACCGGTGTGAGGGAAATAAGAGGAATATATAGTTTTATAACAAATGGGATTGGGATTTTATTTTTTAAGTATACATTTTTGCACTTCAGTTCAGATAATTATGTTAATTGGTCATTTCATTTGTTAAACCCTGATCTCGAGGCTCTGAGCTGAAATTCAAGGACAGCAAACACCGACCACCACAACATCACTTAGTTAATCTTGACCAACTAACCAGAAGTACACACACACATATACACACACACACACACACACCTAACTATCCTCCGACTGACTTTTTGTGGAAGGACACCACAGCAACCTCTGGTGTGAACCTAACTGTGTCCACTCAGGTATAGAGTTTCAGAGCACGAAAGAGAAACAGACGCCTGTGAACCTGACAATGAGTGAGACAGAGGGAGGGAGGGAGAGTGTGTGTGTGTGTGTGTGTGTGTGTGTGTAAAGGAGAGAGGAAATAGAGAGACATGGACCACCCAACAGCTGTGAAGAAAAAACAAAGCTGGGCGGAGAGCAAAGTCAGACTCAATCTCATCGCAAAGTACGGCAGTTGGAAGTTATTGAGCCGTCGCCGTTTGCCAAGAGTGAAAGAAACAGAGGGAGAAGTTTAAGTGAAACACTAATCAGATGTGGGAGTATCAAAGGTATCGTATCAAACGCCTTGTGCACGTTGTTTGATTATTTCTTATTTCAAGCTAACAGGTTTAGTGGCTCCAAAACACGAGATTGAAATTTAAAAATAAAACCATCTTTGAATAAGTTGAAAAAAAAAAAAGCAATAAGAACCAAAAGCAATTAACGCTCACCCTCCTCTTCACAACAGCCCATCATGTGGCCTTGATAAAGCCCTTAAGTAGAACTAGACAGGAAGCCTTTGACTCACACAAAAAAAACAATGTAAAATTTCCCCCAAATCATTTGAATTTATATTTTAATAGTTGTTGTTTTTTGTATTTGTTTTTGTTTTGTATTTTTCTGCTACAATAGAACACTAAAATTCACTGTATTTAGTTTAACATATTAAAAGGGAAATTATTCGGTTCTACTTTTGGCCACTAGGGGGACTTAAATATGCAGAGTGGGATCAGGGCAATACTGCCTTCTTCACTTCAGTCCAGTCCAATGAGGGAAGACTTTTACTCTTTTAAATAGATAAACAACTATATAAGAGGAATAAATATATATATCAATTATTTTTATTTTATTTTTATCACAGGAGTCTAGAAATAAAATATCTATACGAAGGGGGGGGTCGTTATTTTAAGTTATTCAGACGAGAGCCCACTTTTAAATGTATTTTTTAAGGTCCCTTTTGACATGTCATTCATGTCAGATGTCCATGGTTTTATTTATTGATATTAAATTAAATTAATTTAAACTGTTTTTGGTAGATATAAGTTTATTTCACATTATTTGTAAAAGTCTCAGATTAAGGTGAAATAAACGGCGACGCCTCAGTGGAGGAGGAGCTGCTACTGTTACAACATGGTTAGAGTTTGACTTCAGTCTGTTTCTGTCCTAAAGCCAAAGGTCAAAGGTTGCAGCTCACCCGATGCCCCAAATACCTTGCTGGGTGTGTGTGTGTGTGTGTGTCAGTTACCTTCCCATGTTGCTGTGTGTCTTTTAAGCGTTGGCTCAGGGGACTCTCCAGTCTCTCTTCAACACAAGGAATGGACAGCTGACCTGAGGACACCAAACACAGACACAGAGTTTGTGTTTACTTCACTGACTTCACTGTGTTTGAATTTAAGATGTGATTTTTTAAAATAGCAAACAATGTCTTTTACATATATAGAATAAATGAGGAAAAATAGACATCAACAGATATATATCCACAGAAAAATGTGTGATTTTGTTGTTTTTTTTAATAACAACTGTCCATCAGGACTATTCTGTGACATGCCTCTCATGTCTGGATCAAAACTAATTTCACTGTATCACTGCGTGTCACCCCTGCCCACCACCTCCTCTGACACACACACACACACATTCTAGAACATCTTCATCCGTCTCTGTCTCATCTGCATGGTGTAGAGGGCAGGGAGGCGGGTGACTAGTCCGAGGGAGAAAGGTCAGCGCGATGGAAGGGTTCATCATTCTGAGGTGTCAGAGCCTCTCTTTACAAAAGCAGATGAAGCGGAGCAGAAGGGGGGAGAAAATGAAGGGGGAGTAACAGAAAAATGGGGGATAATGGTCCGGTCTATTTTTGTCTGGTTTTTGGTGGACAGCCTTGATTTGGTCACACAGGGTTGGTTGGTTGGACTCCACCAATGGCTGATCAGTCAGTATTTTTATTAGAGCCGTCAAAACGAATCCCTTAATCTGGTTAATCTAAGATGAATCAGTTTGAAGGTCAGATTGAGGCACACTCTATCTCCAGTCATTTTATCCACTTTATAAACCGTCATTAAATTGACTCTGTGTTCCAGCAATATCAAAAAAATTAAAGCTGTTTTGTC